GCCCAGCCTAGAGCCTGACAGGTAGCAGGGGCTGGTTGGAAGAATGGACAGAAGCTTCTACCAGGGGGCAGGGGTTGTACAGGTGTGCATCTGTGTGGTATTATAGGGTACACTGTGGCACCATATCCGAGGGCCACTGCACATCAGAAACCTCATGGAGATACTTGCTCTTAATGAATAGACTTTAATTCTTAGAGCAGGTTTAGATTTATAGAAAATTTGAACGTATAGGATAGAAAGTTCGTGTCTCTCCCCCTGCCACACAGTTTCCCCTATTATGAACTATGAATAGCAGGGTATACTTGTTACGGTTAATGGGCCAGTATTGATAAATTACTATTAAGATCCATCATTTATTCAGATTCCCTCTGTTTTTGCCTGGTATCTGTTTTCTGTTCCGGGATCCCGTGTCACATTCGGTTGTCACGTCTCCTTGGGCTCCTCGTGGCTGTGACAGTTGCTCTGGCTGTCCTTGTTTTTGATGACCTTGACATTTCTGCAGAGGACCGGACAGGTCTCTTGTAGGATGCTTCACCCTTGGAAGTTGTCTGGGTGCACACTGTGAACGTGACTCTCGCTGCTGGTGTTGACCTGGTTGGAGCCATGTTTGTCGGGCTTCTTTATTGTGAAATTACCCTTCTCACCCTTTCTAGACATTCACGCACTGCAGAAAGACGTTTCCGTCCGTGACGGACCACGTAGGTGGTGGGGATCCCTAGACACCATGGTGCTACAACTGCCCAAGTATCCAGTAGGGATATGCCGTACAGGTTTGTAGCCTGGGAGCCACAGCTGGTCCACATAGCCGAGGTATGGAGCAGACTAGACCATCTAGGTGTGTGTAGTACACACGAGGATGTTCCACAACAAGCATGCCGCCCAAGGGCCCATTTCTCAGAAGGTATCCCTCTTGTTGGGTGGCACACGACCGTGCTGTCCTTGTTGGAAGGAAGTCACTCTGCAAAGCCTGGGTGTGTGTGCTTCTCATGATGTTTTTCCCTGCCAGATGGCAGTAGAGGCTTATTCCACAGCACGACGTTTCTGGCAGATGGACGCGTTCTCTTGCGGAAGGGTGTATCTCTCTGCCTTGTAGACGACGCTTCACGGGCTGGTGGTTGTCCTGGGCACACCTACCTGCCCAGACAGGCTCCCAGGGCCAGTGTTCACGCCAGGTGTGGGGGCCTGGAAGCCAAAACCCCAAAGAAACAGGCTCGCAAAGTAGCCCCGTGGTCTGGCTCCTGTTCCTGAGTCTGTTTTATCATGGTTGCCTTTGTTGCACTGACGCATTGGACACACGCGCCTCAGGGTAAGACATGAAGCGACACAGAAAAGAGTCTTCCCCACAGGGATCAGCGGCAGCACTTTGGGGTGGCCTGTTCTAGGCTTTGAAAAATAGCTTAGCCGGGCTCGGTGGCTCAGCCTATCATCCCGCGCCTTTGGGAGCTGAGGTGAGTGGATTGCCTGAGCCCGCGGGTTCGAGACCCGCCTGGGCAGCGAGACCTCATCTCTACAATAAATCAAAAAATCAGCAGGGCATGGTTGCGCATACCTGTAATTCCGGCTACTTGGAAGGCTGAGGTGGAAGGATCGCCAGAGCCCAGCAGGTTGAGGCTGTGGTGGCCGGGAGCAGCCACTGCACTCCAGTCTGGGCGACAGAGTGAGACTCCAACTCAAAAAAAAATAAAAAATAAATTAATTAATTAAAAAAATTAAAAAAAAAAGAAAGAAAAATAGCTTAGAATTAGGATATGTTGGACATTATGTTCCTAAATTTATAATTATACATTGAATACATCAATGTCAGTGCTAAATATTTTTACAAAATATATGCATATAGCATGAGCATATTGATACATACATATAAATGTAGGCATACCTGAATGTGAGTATAGGACACCTGACAATCAAACTCACGAACTCAGCCTAGAAAAAGTGCCACGTTCCTCACTGCTGAATATCACCACGGTCACCTTCAAAGTACTCCCCTTGGGAAGCTAGGCACTGATGCCAGCGCCTAGTCCACTCATTAAAGCAATTTTGGGACTGTTTTTCTTGTTTTGTTTTGTTTTTTGAGTTGGAGTCTCGCTCCGTCGTCCCGACTGGAGTGCAGTGGCACACTCCCGGCCACCAGATCCTCGACCTGCTGGACTCCGGCAATCCTTCCGTCTCAGCCTTCCAAGTAGCTGGAACTACAGGCACGTGCTACCACGCCTAATTTTTGGTTTATTGTAGAGATGAGGTCTCGCCAAGTTGCTCAGGCAGGTCTCGAACCCGCGGGCTCAGGTAATCCACTCACCTTGGCCTCCCAAAGCACTGGGATTATAGGCTGAGCCAGCGGGCCCAGCTGGGACTCTTTCTAGAATGACTATCAGAGCTGTCGATATAGTACCTTGGTGTCCTGAGTGTCATCAAAATGTCTTCCTTTCAATATTCCCTTTATCTAAAAGTCATGGGGGCCAGATCAGGGGAGTAGGGAGGGTGTTCTCATTCAGCTGTTTGTACAGTGCTGCCAAGGTAAGCACATGGTGACAAGTTGTGAACTTAATTGTCAGACCTCAACAAATGACAACAGCTCTGATGGCCATTCCAGGCAGAGTCCCAATACTGCTTTGACACGCAGACTAGGAGCTGGCATCAGTGCCTAGCTTCCCGAGGGGAGTACTTGGAAGGTGACCATAGTGATATTCAGCAATGAGGTATGTAGCACTTTTTCTAGGATGGTTCACTAATCTAGTCGTCAGACTTGTATAAATAAATAAAAATAGATAAAATAAATAAGTATAATGATTAACCATTGCCAAATATCTAAACACCCCGTTTTTATGAAATGGGATGATATTCCTAATTTGGTGACTTGGAGATTTTGCTTGATATAGCTTAGCGTTCTCTGGGTAAATATACGTCTTCGTTTATTATTTATTTTTATTTTTAATTGCAGTAAAATGCACATAGCAAAATTTGGCCTCTTAACCGCGTTTAAGTGTATGTATTAAACCACGTTGAATGGTTCAGTGGTGTTAAGGTGGTTCAGTGGTGTTAAACCACGTTGAATGGTTCAGTGGTGTTAACTCTTTCTCTCTTGTCCCCATGAAACAGGCACTCCCCATTACCCTCCCCCAGCCCCTGGCAACCACCGTTGTACTTACTGTCCCTATGAGTTTGATGACTTCAGGAGCCTCGTATGAGTGAACCCGTACAGGACTTGCCATTTTGTGACTGGCTTATTTCACTTAGAACCGTGTCCTCATACGTCCTCACATGTGCTTCACATGTGTGGTAGTGTGTGACAGGGTTTCTGTCTTTGGGGGTCGAGTAACAGTCTGTTGTGTGGATAGACCACATTTTGCTTATCTGTTCATACGTGGACATATACTTTGGTGGCTTCCACTTTCGGCCATTGTTAATAGGGCTGCGATGAACATGGGTGTGCAAATGTCTCCCCAAGACCCGCTTTCAGTGATTTTGAGCATACGCCCAGAGGTGGATTGCTGAATCACACTGCTTTATTCTTTGTAATGGCTGCATAGATCACAGAATGTTTGTACCGTCATTTACTATTTTCAATAGGATTCTTTGGGCTGCCCGTACCATAGCACCATGGGGACCAGCTGAGGCCAGACATCTGTCTCCATAAACCGGGAATTCCAGGGTGGGCTCGGTGCAAGGCTGGCGGGATCTGCCGGGTCAGTTCCTCCTCATTCCCTCCCCTTCTGCCGGTCTCCTCCTCTGTCTCTGCGTTTTCCATCAGTCCATCTACGTCTTCATGAGTGGACGTCAAGTTCTGTCCCGGTGGGTGGAAAGTCGGCCTCTAACATGGCCGAACTCACGTCACCCCAGCAGAGCCACCCTGGGGAAACTGTGGAGGCCCATAAGGACTGGGCCCGAGACACAGTGACCACTCCTGTGTCCATGGAGACAGGCTTACTCTGGCCACAAGAAAGGACTCAGGAGAGCTCTCTAAGTGGGCAAAGACAGTAGCCACAAGAGTGTCCTGTCGGTCCCGTCCGATCGCACGCTTTCTTTGGTGTGTCACCCGTGTGAGGGCTGTGTGACCCCTTCGACAGACCCGGAAGCCAGGCCTGAGTGCCTTTCCCTGACACAGAAAGCAGCGAGTGCGGCAGGGCCAGCACACGGGCAGAGCCAGGATGCTTGCATGCAGACCTAGCCTCTACTCCTTGTCACCTCCAGGCGAGTTCCCTAGAGTGCATTGTCTAGTTACCCTGAATCTGGGGATAGTACTGGACAGTGAGGGCACTGTTTCCCTGGGTTCTGATGTAGACTGCCTGTGCCGTTTGCTTGGAGGGCATAGCATGGGGCCTGGCACATTGAGAGGGCTCCAGCCAGGGCAGCTGTTGTTGTTGTTATTACTATGACCGTTTGGTAGAGAGGTCCTGGCCTTCCTGGGGCCTAGTATTTCACAAAGGTGGACCGGAAGGGTTTGGTTGGGCTCAGTTTGGACAAATTTTCATCACAAATAAGGCTGAGCAGGCTGGGAGGAGGCTCTGAGGTCACTTTTCAGAAGCGGTCTGAGGCTCAGAGAGGCTGAGAGACTTAGCCAGGGACACACAGCAAGTAGATGCTTCCAGCTAGAATCTGGTTCTTTTGACTCCCTGTTACCTGCCACTCTGTGAAAACCTGCAGGATCCTAGGAATCCGGAGGCTCTTGGCTTACCCAGGGTCACAAGGTTCATGAAAAGCAGACTTGAGATTCGAACCCAGGTCTTTCTGACTGTTAAGGCATTTCAGCCACACTGTGCTGCCTTCCTGGCCAGCTCCCAGGACTGCAGTTATGACTGAACAGGTGTTCTCCATGGAAAGGGGAAGGTGGTCTGGTACTCAAGAGCTGGTGGGGAGGCTTGGCTTAGAAAAGTGAACTTCAGACTTCTGGACAAAAGTGCAGTTCCTCTCCGTGGAGCCACTTACAAAAGTAACTTATCACCACTGCTGTGAGCGTGTCTTTCAGTTAATGACTTCATGCCTTTTGACCTTTTTAGGACTTGCCCTGTCTGATCTGGCCCAGTGTGGGAAGCTGTCACTTTAAGACTGCAGGTACGTTTTTCTTCTGGTTGATCTGCCCTTGTTTTGGCCGTAATGAACCAGAACCCCGAGTCCCCCCTCCCGCACCCCCCTCACATGCCGCCGGTCCTTTCAGCATCTCTCTGCTCTGGACAGGTAGGTCATTCCCTGACCCTCCAGAACTAGGGCAGTGTGCCTCCTCCCCCAAGCCGGCTGGAGCTCAGGGCACCAAGCAGAATCTGGGGTAGGTGGATCTGGGAGCCTGATGTTCTTGGTGTTTGGGGCTCTGCCTTTCTCGTTCCATCTTGGCCCCAGCTCTCCCCAGCAAGTGTCCCTCTCAGGTGCATCCTTTCCACATGGTGGGAAGGATGCCATGGGAGTCCCAGTCGCCCAGAAGCCTGACAGCTGGCACCTGCAACGTGGAAGAGATTTTTTCCCCAGGGGTTGTGGCAGAAGTTTCAGGGAAGACCGATGGGCTCAGCTTGAGTCCCAAGCCTGTCCCCGAACCTGTTCTTGGGGGCAGGGGGTGGAGTTTTCTGGGCTTTGCCTGATTCTGGCATCCTGAGGAACGGGATGGGCTGGGATCCAGGTGGGCCCTGCTTGTCTGTACAGACCGCGAGGGGCTCTTGCTGATAGAGGAGAGGTCCTCCCTGACGGGGAGTGTCATGCTGGAGTCTGCGTGAGAGCTGAGGACCAGGAGAGCCAGCAGGCCGGAACGGGCATGCCGGAAATAAAGCTTCAGGGTTTAGGGTTGGCCGTAAGGTTTCATGGCCAGCCGGTCTGCCAGCCAAGCATTTGCCCCTTAGTCTGAGGGGCTGTGCTGGGGTCCACAGATGGGCGCTGGGCTCACTTGCACCCAGGTAATTTACTCTGACATTCCTGATGCACGAAGTCAGCGCTGGCCTGGTGGAGCACCTCTTTCCGTGGTGAGCGGCTGGTTGGTTTCCTGGTAGGGACCCATATTCCATCCGAGCTTGGGAACTGAATCAACACCAGACCCTATCCAAGAAAAAAAAGAAAAACCCTAATTGTATCTAGGACCCAGTTTTACACCATTTTTCTCAAATGTTCATTTTTTTCCAAATATATTTTGAAAATCTATAGAGGGTTTCAAAGGCATTTCTAAAGACCTTGCTATCAATACTCTGGGTAGAAAAACTGAAAAATAAATTCATTGAGTCAAACTATAGTTTGTGTTTGGATGGAAGATAAGTGTAGAAAAGCCCAACCCGATCGTGTAGGTCACCTCAAAAATAAAATTTCTGCCTTTAAGCACTTGATTCTCGGAAGCAGTTTTCACGTGCAGCATGGCACTTATTGGCTCCTCAGACCACCCCATTTCATTGGTATCTTAGCCACATTCCCAGGTGAGGTGATCTGAGACTCAGAGGACTCAGCTGACCTCTCCAGGACCCCACCGCTGGCCAGCCACTGGGAGATACAAGTGAGGGTTTACTGCTTAAGAAGGATGCATGCAGGTGAAGTTTGGACTTCTAGCTGACTGGCTCTCCCCGGTGGTGGGCCTGGTACCCGACGTGTCGCCATGTGGCCCCATCTGCCTTCTCCCTTCCCTCTCTCCCCTATCCGCGTCCGGCATCTGCTGTCCCCACCCTTGTGCTCATGTGGCCAGCGATTAGGGCTGCTTATGCGTGAGAATGTGCAGTCTTCTTTGTTCCTGTGATAGTTCACTTAGTATGACGGCCTCCAGCTGCATCCATGTTGCTGCCAAGGACATGACTTTTTTCTTCTTTATCAGCCAGGAACTTTCAAGTGACATTTCTGTGCTTACCCATAATGCTCATGTATCTTCCAAATATGCCGATACAGAGCAAATTCTAGAGGGAGTCGTTTCATGTTGGGTGGCTCAGCGGGCATCTCTGTCTGGCTGTGCATGGATCCCTCATAGTTAGGATGGTCATGGGTGGCATTCATTGAGAGCTCCCCTGCAGTGGACAGGCGCTCAGAAGACTCAGGGAGGTAAGCCCTGTGCTGTCCACTTAGAGTGAGGGAACTGAGGCATAGTGAGGTTAGGGGATATGCCCAGCAACTCTTAGTGGGTGAATGGCAGAGTCACAATTTGAACCCAGGGCTGCCTGATGCTGTCTGTGTAAGAGCCACCCAGGGTACCACCCCTGCCCAGTGGTTCGGATTCCTGGGTGGGGTCATACAAGCCAGATACAGAGACCAGGGTTCAAGAAACACTCAAACTCTGGAGCTTCCCAGTGAGCATATCTCATCTTCCCAGCAAAGAGATAATAAGTTATTTATTCATTCATTAGTTTCACTTCTTCATTAATTCACTTCTTCAGCCAAAATTTTTCAGGTGCCCTCCACATACTGTAGTCTACCTTCAGAGTTTAACCACTGGGTCTTGCTGTCTTTTTTTTGCATGTGTGTCGCTGTTTTGCAGCAGAAGCACCACTTGGAATGAAATTGCACAAGAAAATTGAAATCTCTATTCCACTCCCGACTTCTGCAGCCTCTCCTGGGCTGTGGACTCATTCCTTATTTGCTTTCATCCCCTCCTGGCCAAAGAAGGCCTTATTTAAAAGAGAATCTCCTATGACACACCACCTGGTAAGTAACAGAAATATCAGAAGCTGGAAAGAAACCAATTTCGAGCTAACCGTATGTAGAATGTCACAGGCTTTTGTTCCTCAAAAAAGCCTGTTTCTCTTCTCTCCCTAAGTATAGTTATCATTGGGGAGCAAGTCCATTTATTTTTAAAAAGTGCTATTTCTGCAGTACAACATGGAGTATTTAGACGGATAGGAGGTTTGACTCAGAGCACAGGCTGCCTGGTCTGGTGTTTCTGAAGCAAGGCTTGGACCGGCTTTAATCAGACCGGTTCGCCGTCAGCTGTTAAAACAGGAGGCCATGATAGAAGTGAACGTTTAACAAATATTTACCACATTCCAGACACTGGGTTTAGCACTCATGTGCACAATCTCATTCGAGCTGCATGGTATCTTTCTTAGACAGATAGTGTTTTTATCCCCATTTTATGGACGGGAAGTTGAGGATTAGAGAGACTGAGAAATCATCCCAGGTCCTCCCACAGGTAGAAGTGTCAGAGCCGAGGTTGGAAACCCCTTTTCTTTTCTTTTTTTTGAGTTGGAGTCTCACTCTGTCACCCAGACTGGAGTGCAGTGGCTGCTCCCGGCCACCGCAGCCTCGACCTGTTGGACTCCGGTGATCCTTCCGCCTCAGCCTTCCAAATAGCTGGAACTACAGGCGCACACTACCACGCCCAGCTAATTTTTAAAATTATTGTGGAGATGAGGTCTCGCCACGTTGCCCAGGTGGGTCTCGAACCCGCGGGTGCAGGCAATCCACTCACTTCAGCCTCCCAAGACGCGGGATTACAGGCTGAGCCACCAACCCCGCCGGAAACCTCTTTTCTTGACCGCCACTCTGTGCTTTTGCTGCTGTGTAATATTCTGTTCTATGGGGTGGCTCCACATAGGACTGTCTTTCTACATAGATTTAATAACTTAAAATGACCCGAGAACTGTTGAGCTTGGCCAGTGGACTATGATGGCCAAGGACCCTTTCTTGGCTTCTGGCTCATTGTTATATTTGTTTCCTGGGGCTGCTGGAACAAATGGCCAGCAGCTGGGTGGCTTCAACCAACAGGAATGTGCTCGTCGTTCCGGAGGTCAGAGTCTGCGACCGGGTGTTGGCAGGGCCTGCTCCCTTGAAGGGCTTAAGGGAGGACCCTTTCCGTCTCTTCCGGCTTCGGGTGGCTCCAGGCTTTCCTGGGCTGTGTCACTCCAGTCCCTGCGCCCGTCTGCCCTTGGCCACCTCCTGTGTGTCTGTGCCTTCTGCTCTGTGTGTCACTTCTGAGGATGCTCGTGACAGGATGGAGGGCCCCCTGGATGATCCAGGATGATCTTATCTTGAGATCCTTAGCTTAATTACGTCTCCAGAGATCCCTTTTCCAAATGAGGACACATTTGCAGCTTCTAGGGATCAGGACCTGGACGTGTCCTTTGGGGGCCACCCTTCATCCCGCTGCAGTGGTCATTGTTCTTTCTCGTCTCATGAGCAACCTGTAACTTGTCACCTCACGCAGCAGCACCCTTCTGCACTTACTCAGCAAGCTGTATTTATCACTTACTGTGTACAAGATACTGCCTGATTATCAGAAGGAGAGAAAGGTCCCTCCTTGAGGGCTTGGGCACGTCAAAAAGACGTCAGGGCGGGTGTGGGGGATGGAAAGCTCAACTGAATCAGAGGCCTGGGTGGGGCTGATGCTACTGCCCGTTGTCTGCGTGTACCTTGGACAGTCGCTTCCTTTCTCGGCTTATTTGTCTGTTCTCTGCACAATGAGAGGGTTATGCTGTGGAGAAGGGATGCAAGTTGTGGAAGGATCATGGGAACTGGAGCCACCCAGGCCTGGGTCGTCTCAAGCTTCCTGCCGGCACGACCTTGGGCAAGTGAATGAACCTTTCTGAGCCTTAGTTTCCTCATCTGTAAAGTGGGAGAGATGGAATCCACCCCTGTAAAGTGATGAGTGCAACTCCTGACCCTCGGGAAATGATAGCCATTTTTTGAAGGTTAACATCCCTTAGAGCTGCTGTAGTCTGTGGCCCTGAATACAGCTTATCCCACTGCAGGTGACCAGGGGGTAAAGTAGAGAGCTGGGGAGGCATGGTTGTCCCAGCCAGGAGAGCCAAGGAAAGCTTCCTCGATGGTGTAGGGTTCCAGTCAGGTTTCAAGGATGTGCGTGGATACCACACTAAGAGGTTATATTAATTTCCTGAGGCTGCTATAACAAATGACCGTGAATTAGGTGGCTTAGAACTACAGCAATGTGTTCTCTCACTGTTCTGGAGGCCAGAAGTCTGAAATCCAGGTGTCGGGCGCCCTGAAGGCTGTATGGGAGCATCCTTCCTGCCTCTTTGAGCTTCTGATGCCTCCAGGCCTTCCTTGACTGACTGTATCACTCCAGTCTTTACCTCCATGTACCCTCGGCTTTCTCCTCTGTGTCTATTTCGTCTTCTCCGTGTTTCCCTTACAGGGACACATGTGATTGGATGTAGGGCCCACCTGGATAATCCAGGATGATCTTATCTTGATTTAGCTTAGTTAAATCCTCAGAGATCCCTTTCCAAATACAAGCGCATCCACAGGTTCTAGATATCAGGACATGGACATATTCCAGTGGGGACACTAGGGCCCTGGAGTCAAGGGGGATGGCAAGGCCTGAAATGAACAGATGTTGACTGCGATTACGAGAGGAATGGACGCCTGGGGCTTCCAGGGCCACGGGAAGCTTGCATTTGACAGCAAGCCCTTGGCTTGGCTTTGGAATCTTTCCATAGCAGCCATTGCAGGGCTGGGGAGGCCGAACACGGGGGATACTTTTTACGCTGACGATGGGGCCAGCTCACAGAGAGGCCACCCTGCACACTGCCCTTGGTTTCACCCATCCCCTACCATGGTGTGGCTGGGGTACTCAGTCAGCCCACAGCCGGGACGCACATGGTCCGTGTTCCAGGCATTATGTGATTTTTTTTCATGGCTCTGCTCACACTCTCCTTGCGGATTTGTCAGCCCTGGTTTGCCAACAAACAGACAAATGGGGACATTTCAAGAGACGTTCAAGAGACTTCTGAGAATGGAGTGATTTTTCACAAATGTGCAATGGTAAGTTTTCTGGTTTGCCAAGTCCCTGTGATGACAGGTGTTCCGGACATCCGCACCCAGACCCGGAATACACCGCCGGGGAATCTCACGTCTTCATTCTTCTTTGCTCAGAGGTTTTAATTTCCAATCCTTTAATGCTCTTTTTAAATTAAGTCTTCAAGATTACTTAAGGATTAACAGAAGTAATCCCTCTACCCTCCTTTAAAATGTTCATTGTCTTGTAAGTTTATTAAATATGTATAACAGGAAATATTTTTCATCTTCTAATAATTCCTATATTTTTTCTCATAGTATGGGGACATTTCAAGAGACAGTCAAGAGACTTCTGAGAATGGAGTGATTTTTCACAAATGTGCAATGGTAAGTTTTCTGGTTTGTCGGCCCTGGTTTGCCAAGTCCCTGTGACGACAGGTGTTCTGTGCCTTCACCCAGACCAGGAATACGCTGCCGGGGAATCTCACGCCCTCGTTCTTCTTTCCTGGCTTCTACTCAATGAAAGAACAGTTAGATTTTGCTCAAATCATGCATTGGAGTCATGTATCGAAGAACGGGCCAATCATGGGCTGGTCTACCCATGTCTAGACACGTGATGAAATAAACAAGGGTTCTGATATCTGACAAGGCCACGCTAGACCGAGGTTTTTTTGGAACAATTAAATAATTGTCGGCCAGGCATGGTAGCTCAAGCCCAGCACTTTGGGAGGCTGAGGTGAGGGGATTGCCTGAGCCCAGGGGTTGGAGAACAGCCTGGGCAACTTGGCAAGACCTCATCTCCATAAGAAATCAAAAAATTAGCTGGGTGTGGTGGCACATGCCTGTAGTTCCAGCTACTTGGCAGACTGAGGTAGAAGGATCGCCGGAGCCCAGCAGGTCGACGCTGGGGTGGCGGTGAGTGTGCCACTACACTCCAGCCTGGGTGACAGAGTGAGGCTCCAACTAAAAAAAAAAAAAAATAATAATAATTGTCAGTAAAAGTTCATAGTGATCATTTAGAACATGATAGTGTGATCTATTCTTTTAGATTATAAACATGAATATGGTACCTGACAGGTTTAAAAGTTTGATGTTTTTTAGATTTCCATCTTACTAATCCCACGAGATGCTTATTAATACTGTCTTGGTGTCTCGGGTCTCCAACACCTCTCTCAGGTTCAGTGATTTGCTAGAAGGACTTACGGAACTCAGAAAAGTCGGCATGCTCTCAGTTACAGTCAATTATGGTGAAAGGATGCAGATGAAAGCCAGCAAAGGAAAAGGCAAATGTCAGAACTCAGGAGAGACCAGGCCCGAGCGTCCAGCTGGGTTCTCCCGGTGGCATCTTCGGGGCTCTGTCACACAGGCAAGGAGCACCTGTGAGACTGACCTTAGTTCTCACTCTCCAGGACCTCCAGAAGTCATGGTGTGGCCCAAGGCACACACCACACATCACATCATTGGTTTCAACCAGCTGGTGAGATCCCAGGCCCCGGGCATACGAAAGCACTCAGGCCGGGCGTCCCACAGGCTTTAGAGGTTATCTCCCAGGAGCTGGTCAAGGGACACTCCTTTTTTTGGAGTGTGGAGGGTTTGGACAGCCCAGGCTTGCTGAGTTAGTTCTTTACTGCACCACCGTCATTTTATCATAGGCCCTTGGCTACCTTGTTTGCCTTGCTGGATGCAGTCAGTGTTAGTGGTGTCTCATCTATCCGTCTAGAGACAGTTCCTGTCATATGCATGCAGTTGGGAGTGTGCATGCGTGCATGCATGCATGTGTACACACGTGTACCTTCCTTCTCCTCCTCTTTACATAGGTGGCAGTTTACTGAAGCTTGCTTTATACACTTATATTCCAGAGTTCACTCAGTCTGGAATGCATATTGTTTCTTTCCTTCTCCAGATCCTACTTCTGTTTCACAGAGCTAGGGAGAAGGAGGTGTAGGAGGAATAGGAGATAAGGTTAGAGAGCAGAGCAAGTAGTCGGGCTTGGTGGCACATGCCTGTGGTTCCAGCTACTTGGAGGGCTGAGGCGGAAGGATCACCGGAGCCCTGCAGATTGAGGCTGCGGTGGCCGTGAGCATGCCACTGCACTCCGGCCTGGGCGACAGAGTGAGACTTCGACTCAAAAAATAAAAAGTAAAAATAAAAAAAGAGGGGAGCAAGGGTCAGAGCCCAGGTGGAGAGCTTGCTACCCAGGCCGCTGGACAGCTTCCAGCCGCAGAGCCACCCGAACAAAGCCTGAATGGGGGAGATGGGCCAGGACACCGGTGAGCCGCCAAGGTCATTCCTGGAGATCCTGTGACCAGCAGAGACCCCACCCAGGGTTCTGGTGCTGGGACTGAATCTTCAAAGCACCTGAATAACAAAGAGCCATTGTTTGCTTTTCTTGGTGACACCGTTTGTCACCATCTCCCCAGCCCGACTGTGGTTCTGCGCTTGTATATTTTTTCTTCTAAGATGCTCTGCAGGGATTATTTCACTGCATTTCAGGGTCTCCATTTCTTTGAAACTGTCTCCAAGCAACAGCTAGGCAAGTGTGGGTCAAAACCCTCCTGGGGGCCTTTGAAACCAGATGGAGCCTGATAAGTTCTCAGACCCTTTGTGTGACCAGGATACCCTCCCCTCTTCCTGGAGACCTGGTGTGCCCAAGTTGGGCTCACACATCATTTCGGGAAACTGGACTTGTCAGACCTGTCAGCACCCATGTGCTCATTCCATCCCTTCCTGTCCCAGGTGTCCGGGCAGAGTGAGCCACAGGCAGCCCACATATGGCTGCTGGTCAACAACACCAGTTCACCCTTGTCAGCCAACCTCTCCAACCTCCTCCTTCTGGACAACATCACTGGCCTCGCCATGAGGGAGTCTGTCGGAAATAGGACCTCGGAAGGAGTCCAGACTTTCAGAAAGAAGTTTCTGCAAGGTAATAGTGGAGAAGTCCGGGGTGGCAAGTGGTAACAATACATACAGGTACTTGCAGGCTGATGTAGATGCTTTATGTCTGTTCACTCAGTTAATCCTCCCAGTGGATCTTACGGTCAGGGCATCACAAAAAGAGACCCCATTTAATGTCTGTAACCAAAAGGCTGAAATTCTTATGTATGTTAGAGAGAGGTTGGATTTGGGGAAAAAGCTGTGAGTTAAAAAAAGAAAATACACACACACACACACACACACACACACACACACACACACACATACATATACATACATACATACACATGTTTGTTCAGTTTTTATTATGAAGAATTTCAGACATACTCCAAGATAAAGTTGACAGTGAACGCTAGTATACCAGTCACCCAGATGCTCAAAATGCCATTAGTCAATAAGATGAAGAGTTTGTTTTGGGTTGTGCTGGACAGAGGTGGGAGTATGTTGACATCAGACACAGAAGCATGTTTGTGAGATGTTCTGGCATGTTTAGGCATGTTCAAGCGTGTTTAAACACAGCCAAGCATGGTCAGGGGGGTAACTCCCCTGCTGACTGGCTGTTTTGCAAAGTGTACCACCCTCACTGGATGGTTTTCAGAGGTTTGTTTCCAGAGGTGATTTGTCACTGTGTTTTGCTTTGTTTTTGTAGAGATGGGGTCACACTTTGCTGCCCAGGCTGGAGTACAGTGACATGACCATAACTCACTGTGACCTTGAACTCCTGGGCTCAAGTAATCCTCCCACCTCAGCTGCCCTTGTAGCTGGGACGGCAGGCGCCTGCCACCACACCTGGCTGATTTTTTATTTTTTTTGTAAAGGCAGGGTCTTGTTATGTTGCCCAGGCTAGTCTCAAACTCTTGGCCTCAAGTCATCTTCCCGTCTTGGCTTCCCAGAGTATTGGGATTATAGGCATGAGCCACAGCACCTGGCCTGTTAAGCTGGTTCAAAAACGATTCTGGGATTCGGTTGCTATCCTGACATCAGAACTGTCCATTTCCCTGGGAGGGTGGAGACTTCTCTGATTCTTGGCAGGTACCTCATTTCCAAAGAGACTGAGACTGCAGTGGTGGAGAAGCTTGCCCAAGGTCACAGGGCTGGCAGCAGTCAAGACACCTGGGGCACCACTGCGCTACAGCTCTTTTCCACATGCCTGGAACGCTCACGGACTCTTCGCCTCTACTCATGGTCCCAGTTGCTCCTTGGTCATGCTGCGCTTCCCCTGGGAGCCTAGATGAGGTCTCAGAATGCTTTTTAACACACTGTCATTGACAGAAGCTACTAGTGGAACTGGCCCCCAAGTAGTACCCTTTTGGCTGGCTCTGGTTTAAATGATGTCATCAAGAGTGTTATATGTCCCAGCTCAGTGATCTTCGGTGCTTACCTTCTTTCAGTGATATAAAGATCAGCCCCAATTCCTTTTCTTTTGTTGTTTTTTTAAGAGAGAAAGGCTGGAATGCAGTGGCATGATTAGAGTTCACTGTGGCCCCAACCTCCTGGGCGCAAACCATTTTCCCATCTCAGCCTCCCAAGTAGCTGGGACTACAGGTGCACACTACCATACTTGGCGGATTAAAAAAAAATTGTTGCCGAGCTCGGTGGTTCAGCCTGTCATCCCACGCTTTGGGAGGCCAAGGTGAGTGAATTTCCTGAGCCTGCAGGTTCGCGACCCGCCTGGGCAACTTGACAAGACCTCATCTCTACAATAAATCAAAAAAATTAGCTGGGTGTGGTAGCGCACACCTGTAGTT